CTGCAGCCTTTGAATCTTTTGCTGCGTCGTTTGCACAGGAGGCTGTGATGTCCGCTGTCCAGCCTGCCCCATTGTATAAGGCCGCACCGGCTGTCTTGGCGCCATTTCTGGCTGAGCCACTGGACGAGCCGGTGTGGAGGGACCTGCCTGCATCGATGGTCCCGGGGGCATTTGCACTGGTCCCTCTTCAGGGACTTTTCGGCCAGTTCTCTGGATGGCCTGCCATTCCATGGCTGCTTCTTGACCCTCTGGCACATATATCCCCAGTGCCGTCTGCTGCGCATCAAAGAGGCCACGCAGCTTCCCGGGTATACGTTGGAGGGCGTCCCTTGGGACTTGGGCCCTGTACGGGGCATGGCCTCCACGGGGATGATAATACCCCTTAAAGTATACCCCTCCATGAGGGTCATGAAAGGCGCCCAGCGTATCCCAAAAGCCCCTCGTGTCCTGTATGACAGGGACACGCATCACTGGGGTGGGCTTTGCAGCCTCGTGCGGCACCTTGGCACGTCCACTTTGATCAGCCGCCATTTGCTGGGCGCGGCGTTCCTGGTATCCAGGCCCCGGTTTCGCCGGTTTGTAGGCAATTTCCTGCCGTCCATGAGAAATCTGCTTTGCTTCTTGAAGCTGCAGAAATGCTGCATAATCCTCATCTCCCATGATGGAGCGCAGCTGTGCAGCTTTTTCTGCATCCGCTTTCGCTTTCTGCAAAGCAGCTTCCTGTCTCTGCAGGATCTCATAGGTCTCCCGTCTTTCCCGGGGAATTGGACTGGCAGGTTCACCTGCTGAACCGAGATACACAATCTCATCGTTACCAGCAGAATCACCAACTTCTGCACGGTTACGCATCTGTGTATTCTTCACAACAGGTCGCAGCAAAGACAGTTCAACAGGATGATTACCTGAAACTGGCCTTTGCGGGCCTTTGGATTCCTCCTTTGCCTTTCTAGGCTGGGACTCCTTCCCTGGCGTACCCTCCGCCTTGGGACCGCTGGTCACCACAACCGATGGCGATGCCGGTTCCGGTTGGATAGGGACAAAGCGGGCAGGGTGGTTTACACCACTGTCACTGCCGCTACTGTCCTGCTGGTCTGCCCAGCGGGTGGAGGTCCCCTCCTTGGCAATACGGGCAAAGGCCTTAGCCTGCTCGGCCGGGTCCAGCTCATCGACCTTGGGCTGTACCTCCAGGCGCTGCGCCTTTTGGCTGCCTCCTGCGGAGAAAAACCGCTTGATCTCAGCCTTGCGCTGGCGTTTGTGAGCTCGCTTACGCTCATACTTTTCAGGATTCAATTGACGATCCCGCTCACGTCGCAGCGCTTTCAACTCTCTCCGCTGTTTGGCCTTTCTGGCCTTTTGCTCATCCAGTTTCTTGGCACGAGCAAAACGATCTCGGTTACGAATCCGTCGTCTCTCCTTCTCCATTCTATGCACTTGTGCACGGGTTGACATATCACCCGGCAAAGGAGAAGCACATGATGAGAACGACAATTCCGAGATCTCCTCCCACCGCTCGTGGGGATCATTAGGGTCTGGTCTCTCTGGACTCCCCTCGCTCAAGTCCCATGGTTCCGGGATATGCCTGAGCGCAAAGGCCATCTTTTCTGGCCAATTTGGGTCCTCTTTGGCAATTTGATCTGCCATTCCAGGACCATACCACCTTTGTATTCTAACCAGTCTGGCGGTGGTTAGCCTTTCTCCAAACTGGTCGGCGGCCATCCGCCATCCCTCGTCAAGCTCATCGACGAGATCGTTGTGGAACTTTGTCCATATTGCACGGCACGGTGGTTGCCGGCTATATGGATCTCGAGTGTCTGGAACGAACTCCAGCACCCTTGAGCTTTCACCAGGCCCCCACTCTGGTAACGCAGGCCTCCGAGGGCTCCAGTTATGGCCTCCCGGCCTTGGCGGACTTTTTCCGCATACTGCTTGAGCGCTTTCTGTGAGCGACTCATCTCCCGTCCCGTCCGATCCACTAGGTGTTCTCACATGCACCTGGGATTTGAGCCGTAGCTCCGGGATCTTGACCTTCCGGCCTTGCATTCTCTCAACTCGCCCTAAGGCTTTGGCCTCCCGGCCTTGATATGGAGATTTCTCACTTTCCATCGGCCGCTCACCTGGCGATGGACTCTTCCGCTTGGAGCGCTGCTTGCCAGCAACCTTCCAGTCTTCCTCTGGAATGGTTGGCATGGGCAGCTCCGACGGACTGGGGGCCCTCACAGCTGGCACCACCTGTTGGGCGCTTCTCTCTTCTGCCTCCTGGGCCCGCTGCTTTTGCTTCAGGAGGCGGTCACTCAACGCCTTGACCTGGTCTTCGGCGGAGGTTTTGGCTTCTTGTGCCTCGCGGCTCTGCTGCTTCGCCTTCTTCATGGCCAGCTCTTTCTCTCGAGCTTCTTTCTTGGCCTTGTTGACGGCGATCTCCAGCGAGGCGATCCTCTCGGCGGTCTCTTCATCCCGCTTCACTCTCGCCTTCTCGGCCGCGGTATCCGCCATCTTCTGCAGGAGCTCTTTGATACCAGGGATCTTCAGCAACGTCGCCGCCGCCTCAGTGTCCTGATCTTGCTCCTGTGTCTTCTCCGCCGCTGGCGGGGTATCCACTTCTTCCATCGGCTCATCTTCCCCTGCGGGTACCGATGTGGCTGTGGAGGGTCCAGCCATGTCCTCCCGGACTGTTACACCTCCTGGCCCATCCCGGGCTTGTTCAGTTCCTTGCCCATCCCGGGCTGCATCGATCTCCTGCCCCTCTCGGGCTTGTTCTTCCCCCTGCCCATCCCGGGCTTGTCCCTCCGATTCCTCAGCCTCCATGGAGGAGGCCGGGGAAGGGCTCCGGCGTCTCGTGCTCTTGCGCGCTCCCAGGTGGAAGCGTGGCCGCCACCCTCAGGCGGCTCCAAAACCAAATGTTACGAATAGGATGTGGGTGTGGGGTTCCTGCCCTCTTTGAGCCGCGGACCCGCCTCGCCGGGCACCTAGGTCCTTACAGGGCACCTAGGCGGGACCACCCCTCCTACTCCCGTATCCTAATATGGATAAAGGTTACATTGGGTGAGGAATAGTACGCGCCTTGGGCAGGGCGTCCCCCACACCAAGGGCCATTAGTAGGACGTCTCCCACATCAGGCTGGTGCGCGTAACAGCCAGCTGACCCAACATCTTATCAGCCATCAAATCACTTCTTGGATGAAGGATACGCAACAGAAATAAAGTGTAAATGCAGCATAGATGAAATTGACTGCGATTCATTATGTTGTACTTCAACAATAAGTCATTGCTACTTTAATGACTGACTGGCAACTTGTCAAAGTGGGACCTGTCCCATCTCAGCTGCCTCGGATGTCCTTTTACAATACGTGGGATCGTGACTCAGATTCTGCCCGCTGACCCCATCTGCTTGTTGTCTCCCCGCACCCCAGTCTCCATTGCGCCCTTTATTCCATGCCCAGGGCGTTCGTGTTTCTCCAAAGTGATTGGCGCCTTCGAACACCCAAGCAAGATTATTCGCTGGGGCCCCCTCTATAGCCCACTGCCTCGCTTTCCACACGCGTCCTCTCCACGATCAAAGTCTGGTCCAAAAAGATGCCCCACCTGGCACCCTGCGACTTTCTGAGGTGGCGCTCATCATCACTGTCCCTTCCGCTTTGGAACTGCCCTGGCAGATTAGGACGGCTCCATACCTTGAATGAATACCCCCGGTTGTTTCCCACCAAACCCCCCTTTCGTGGGAACGCCACCATAAGCCCTCTTGTCAGAAATGGAGGCCCATGCCCAACGTGGTCCCCCCCATGCATCTCGAGGCGCATTGCCACTTTGTGTCCGCGCAGAGCTATATGCAAAGTCCCTTGGGACGAATTTGCCGGATTTGTCCATGGGTTCAGCGTCAAGTGCATGTGCATTTTCCGGCTAAGCCACCCCAGGTCGAATGCAAGGTCGTGCAATCCCTCGGGGACAGCCGGCTTCACAGGTGCTTCAGGAGTTGTCGTCAGACAGATGATCAAACTGCGTTGATGCTATCATTTTCACCCATTGGCTGGAGTCCTACAAGCCATGGTGTTTAGATTGTGTCTTTGGATATCCATTGTCGGTGTAAACGCACTCTTCCACCGGTGTGGCAGCCTCAAGGCGAGGTGATACATTGAAGCCTAAAGTGCCAAGCGGGCCATTTCTGGGCCTCTCGGGGCGCCAGTATACTGCAGTGAGGGCGTTCTATGTGGCGCTCATTATATCAATAATGAGATGCTATTATGGCGACCCAAACACACAAGGGAAACAAAACGGAGAAACGATGTTTTGACACAGGTTTTGGCAGATATAATCAACGGAATTCATCATCATCTTCAAGAATTCTTACGTAATTCGAAGTATGCAACACATTGGGAGACTTTCATTTGCGTGAATTTAGTTGCTTACATTTGTAAAATGAAGTGTTGCATTTGCCAAAAATGTTACATTTGTCATTTCCTAATGAAGAAAAAGGACAAGATCGAATGAAAACCATGCCTTTCCATGCATTCCTGAAAGATGTCGCCTTCGCCAAAAATGCCACATGTGTCATATCTCAATGAAAGAAAAGAACTGGATCTATTGAAAGCCCTGCCTGAGGCGAGGAGCGCCCCAGGCTCGAATCCCCAGTGGGGCGCTGCACAGTTGTACCTTGGTACATTCAACCCTTCCGCATCACACAAATTGCCATTACATTTTTGCTCCGCAAACCTTTTAAGGCCCTTATGTTCGTTTCTTTACCTGCTCCGCACAAACTTTATAAGAAGAGCGTTTTTAGTTTACTGTTTTCTCCACAAGAAAAGGCCAAGCGTTACACTACTTTGCGGAAGGGTTGAGTACACTAAGCCATGCAATGTTACGTTTTTCAGTGTTTTGGCACGTGAGTCATCTGGACGAAAGAAAGGAGGCAGATGGACCCTGCTTGCCATTGCTTGGGGGCAAGGGGCCCCTCGGCCAAGGCGCTGGAACCCCCCGAGCGGGGGCTGGCCGGCCCACCGCCCCTCCGCCATGGCCGAGGCGCGCTCCTCCCGCCGCGAGCTGCGCGGCGCATTCTACCGCCAGTTCTGGAACCAGACGATCGAGTCCTCGCGGTCGCTGGACACCGTTGTGCGCTGCATGCCCAACGAAGCGTCGCCGGGGCCGTTGACGTCACCGTCGGGCCTGTCGCGCGCGCAGCAGCTGCTGGTGGCGTCGGCGTTGGGCGTGCCGTTGGCGCCCACCTTCAGCAAGGAGCACGGCGGCGTGGTGAGAACGGGGTGGTGGGTGGATGGGGGGTAAGATTCGTGAATTGCAAGGAGTCGTGGCCACATCCCTCCTTTTCTTCCCAACATTTAAGGGAGATATAGTTGGGAAGCCCATGGACAGATCATAGCGCTCACACCAGGGAAGAATTGCTGCAAGAGAGAGTCATACAAAGAGCACCCCTTCTGAGTGAAGTGTATGCGAGATATGTGTATAGCAGGTGTATGCGTGACTCTTTTCCATTCTGTGAAACGATGATATGGAGCCTCTGATGCGAAATGACGAACACCCAATGCAAGAAAGGGGGGGAATGGGTGGCGCGATGAGGAGGGTGTTTATTCTTGGATTGTATTCTGTGGATTGGATTGTCGTGTTCTTCAATTTTTGGATTCCTTTCCTCGAACAGTGAGGAAATGCAGCCCTTGCGTCTTGGCGGTGCCGGGCACGGGATGGCGGACGAAATGTCCAGGACACGAGCTGCATGGACGTGTAAATGTGAAATGTATGAATTGGTTAGCGCTAGGTGCCTTGAGGGCCCAGGGACCCAGGGGGGCACATGTCGGGTTTTGTTGGATTCCTGTGTGCCAGACGAATGATGCGCTTGCACACACGTTTGTGTGTTGTGTTCACACCGCGATGGCGAATGGCTGCCATGTCCAGGTTGCAATTTAGAGCCAACCTGGGAGGGATTGGATGCTGCCAATGCATGAATGGGTGTGCCCAACTGCATGTGCCCAATGCAGCAGCGTGAAAACCGCAAACTGTTCACAAAGTGTCTTCCACCAAATGCAGATGATCAGATAGAATCAGCATGCTAGCAGTCTGCCCGGACCTTGCACTGCTTGGCGAAAGACCCCTCAAAGCCCTGCAACATGAAATCAAGCGTTGGGAGGGATCAGCATCTCCTGGGCACGTGGGATTGCTGTAACTAAGTTGTTGATTCGCTTTGATCAGAAGAATAAGGGGCGCAGCTTTGCGAGGATGGTGACAGCACAAGGAATTGGCAGGGGACTAGATCAAGGCTCATGTCTCTTTCCATTCATCCAGCAATTAACTGGCCAATGGAAGAAGGCGTGGGCGAATGAGTTTGTCCACTCAACAAATGTGGAAGTGACTCACCGGTAGTGGCACCTTTCCCTACTGAGCTCATGTCGTCAGACGGCGTATCGTTTTCCAGTGGCCACAAGGACTTCAATGCTTGGCAAGAAGGAATGCCCCAAGCCCTGGTTGTGTGAGCACAAAGTGGACAGAAAGATAAGGAAAGATGAATCCCAAGGCTAGGACTGGAAACGCAAATCTGGCTCTGATCGTTCTGCACATCCCCTGGCAGGTTTCTGCCTGTTAGCATCCAGGTTGTGCTGCTGTCTTCTTGCTGAAATTGCAGCCTGCTTAGCAGTGGTTATGCCCCATATTCCAAAGCCAACATGCTGAATAGAAAGGTGACTCTGGCTTCAGTGACAATTGCAAGCTGTAATGTGCTCTCCTGCATGTTCGGCTTATCACTCTACCTGGCCCGGTATTTTGGTGCGTGCTGCCAATTCTGGAGCCAGAAACTGCTATCTCGACAGACAACTACCTGGATTGAACCGCTGTTCCTTTGAACATGCATGGAACAACATAAATACAGTTCATACCCCACATATTTGGCTCATCAATGTGTCAACAAAACGACACAGCGCACAAGCATATCTCTCAACTTTGGCCAACTCTGATGATCCAACAAATAACACCTCAGGAAAGCCAAGAAAGCCATCCAAGAAAACAATCTGAGAACGGGAAAAGCATTCCAGATCTCTGTTTTGTAAAAGGAAAGAGAAATTTGTTATATCATTGGTACCTCATTGGCAAACTCTCTTGAGGCCCTTATCTGTACAATGGAAGTGATGCAGTGCTCTTTGCGTGTAGCAAGAAATCTGCTGCTTGGTTCTTTGGTGAGCTTGCAACACAAAGGCTTGTTCCTCAATAATGCCGTGTGCCCCATTTGGCACTGCATGGATGGCCTGAGCTCACGGGTTTGTGCATAATGAATGAGCAGCATTGACTACCTTGAAATTGGCACAGTTTGACTGCTCTCAGTTTGCCTTTCTCTGGATTTCTATGCTATGAGAGCCATACCAAAAGCAACACTGCAGCAAAGCCCTGTGCATATGCATTGGCTGTTTGTGCTATGCCTTCATTGTTATGATTCTGATTGAATGATTGCATCTTTCACAGAGAGTGCCAGCGTAAGACAAGGGTAGTGTCACTTGGTGTGTCATCTTGACTTGGCAGAACCACAAGTCACCTGACCTTTGAATCAGAATGTATACAGCTATTCTGGCAGTGTTCAGGAATTTACATTGATTGCATGGATCTGAATGTGATGAATCGCTGTTCTTTCATATGGTGGTTGAGACTGATGGTGTGGCATTGTATAATGTATTGTCTATGCTATGCTTGTGTTGCGTACTGACCCCCATGGCTGTGCCTCCAGTGCTTGGATCGTGCAGTTCCGCTCCTGGGCTGTCGCTGGTTTTGGACGGCCCTCCTATTTCGATTCAAACTGCAGAAGTATCTGGAGGAGCGGCAGAATATGGCCCCTTGGCTCAGGCAGGCAAGGAGTATTGCTGGATCTGTGTATGGCAGGCTTTGGCAATGCCATTTTGCTTTGTGGAGTGCTTTCCTGCTTTGACACTTCTTGACTATAAAGTGTTAGGACAATGTTTTGCTGCATTTGTGCAAGTGTTGTACAAGGGAATTTAAATTCAAATGCCTCAAATCGTTTGCCCCCTTGTTCAAATGTTGATTGAACAGTCCCAGACATCTGCCAGGAGATCAACGGTCAAGTCCTGAAAGTCAAGAATACAACACATCCTGCCTGTGTGCTTTGAGTTGCATGTAAAAACCCAGAACATGTGCCATGCTTGGCAGGGCCCCTCGTAGCACAACCTGTGAGCTCTTTGCCCCTTATAGTGTTTTTGGAGCAAGCAACAGCACACATGGGGACTGAAGCACAGAGCATGTGCAAAATCCACAAATATGCTCTGTGCGCTTTTCCTCAAGAGCACAGGAAAGGTTGCCACTGTTGTCTATTTGCAGCTGCGTGCATGATACATGCTCAACCACAGTGCTGAGTTGCCACCAGTGCTGAAAATGCACACTGACTGGTCCATGTCCACTGTGTGGTTGCCATGGTATTAGAGTTTGCAATTTTGCTTCGAATTTTGGTTGTATTGTTTTGCGAATTGATTTTTTTTTCTGTCTGTTGCAAACCTGTAGGTGGAGGCTCTTGGCAACCCTCAGAACTTCAGGGCCTGCTGCAAAGGCCGGCTGGACTTGGGAAAGTAGGTGACCTGAGCAGGAGCAGCGTCAGGGCCATTAGGATGCAGCTTATCCAGAGGGGATCCCTGCCTTCAGCTCTCACTATAACTCTCCCTGTAGATTTACCCATGCCAATATATTCGCTTCCCATGTATTTTGCAGCATTTCATTCAAGAGGCAGATACCAGCTTTCTGCAGGCTGTTGTTGTCTTCAAGAAATGCGTGTGAAGTTGCAAGGGGCAATCCTCAATGGGGAGCGGTTGGGATTTTCAACATTGTGGTGCCCCCATTCCTGAGCCGAGAAATGTCTGTTGCTGGCTCTTTGAGTTTAGTAGTGACATGTGACCTCAGCACTGTGGTGTACTTTGATATTGCCTTCAAGGATACATTCAATCGATCAAGAATTTTTTGAGATGCAACAGCAGCAAACTGCATCTTCTGTCACACTGAAAACTGAAGAACTTCATGTGCAGCTCGATCAGTGTTTGTCTCCATGTATGGCACCCTGAGGGGAGAAAATGTACCTGCAAGGTGTCTGCAGTATGATCACATCCACATTTCAGAACGAACACCTGACCCCCTGTTCTGTGCCCCTCACTGCGTAGGCACATCAGCATCACCGGCAAGGTGGAATCCAATTCCGTGAAGGACATCCATGAGGCGATCCAGTGGCGCCCTCCTCCCCAGGGCTCCAGTACCGCGGGCCCCAATGGACGGGGCCGATGGGATGGCTTCTCAGCAAGGACTGACTTGCGCATGCAGCTGAGGGGCCACCGCATTAGTGCATCTAGGGCGTACCAGGACGAGTTCCGATGCAAGGGTGGCTATGCCCGAGTGCCCGGACTGCTGTCGGTGGAGGTCGCATCGGACAAGGGCATGGAGGCCATGCACTACAGGATCGGCGTGCACCAGGTGAACTTCCACAGAACCATGACATACAATTGCACTTGTCAAAAGCCCTGGAAGATTTAGTTTTGCATTTATTCCTGCACCTTGGAGGCTCAGGCAGGGGTAGAGAGGTGCATTCAGCATTTGTTCAATGTGTCAAGATGGTTGCTGTTCGTGCACTGGGCTGTTGCGCAAAGTAATGCTGGCAGTGTCGAGGGGTGGGTGAGATAGCTTATGTTCTTCCTGTGTGTTGCTGTCTCATTTGTTGTATGCTTCTTGCTATTTTTATGTGAGTTCTTTAATTGCATCTTCAGGGAGTGTTTTGCCAGGGTGTTTGTGCAGATGCTGTTGCCAATCAGATAAAAGGCAGTTGCAACACCAAGAAAGTGTTATGTCTTGGATGCAGCCTAAAGTGCGAGCTCAAATGCTGTTTGATCATATTTGTCCGAATGCGGTCAATTATCACGCCTTTCAAAAGAAAGAACTATGTGAGACCAAGAAACAAAACCTAGCCTTGAAGATTGAAGATTGAAACATGAAGCGAACTAGGAGTACAACAACTAGAATAAAGTCAGTGGCCTTGCGCCTGGCGGGCGATGCGGGTAGTAGCTCTAGTGTGATGGTACTTGAATAGTGCTTGCTTCGTCCAGAACTGCATACTGAATAGCGTATGGAATTGTACCTTGTGGAATAGCATAAGTTATTGAGGCTTGAATTTTTGGATGTAATGGCCATGGTCGACAGTTGCCTCCCTCGGGGTTGCTGCAATATACTATGCATTGCTGGAGAGTGATCCCAGTGTACATTTTTTGGTCTGGTATCTCTTGCACACCTCAATTCTTCCATTGGATTGATCTGGGAATTAATTCTACCTTGCACTGGCTGCTCTGATTGCCATTTCTGTCATGCTTACTTTCACAATAATACAACATGCACTGCTACTGCCACACATTCTGCTGCTGTGGCTGATGCCTTCCATTGCCCGATAGATGCAAGGTTGGTTGGTTTTGTGGGTCTGTACAAATGCGGTACCCAGCTTTCACTGGTATCATTCATCAGTCACTATTTTTAAAATTTGTCGGAGACTTTCTTACCAGTATTGATTCTGGCGTTTCGTTTTGTTGTGCAGTTTTTTGGCAAAAAAATACATCTGCTTGCCTAGTGGGTATTGTGCTTCGGCTTCTCAGCTGCTGTGCACTTTCTGGCAGGTTGAGGGGCACCCTGTGTATGCTGGAGGTACTGCGGATGATGCACCAGTGGAGGGATACACTCCTGGCACATACCTCCAGGTATTCTATTCACAGTTTCTTAACTGCGAACAACATTAATCTCAATTATAATTAGGGTATTTACCCAAATGCATCTCATTGGTGCAGTGTTGGGTGTTCCTGCTGTAGACATGTGCACGAAGCTACAGAATTGTTGTTGGCATAGTGCACATCAATGGACCAATTAACGAAGCAGATGCACACATCGTACCGTGTATGCAGATGCATAGCAGTATATTGTTTGAATGCCAGTCGAAATGCTGTCAATGCTACTGATGTGTGTGATCACGTCACCACTGAATCGGTTGTCAGTGATGTGCTGTTATTTTAGTTCCAATGCTTCACTGTTGTGTTCGTGGTAATGGTCAGGATCGCAGTGGTTTGATCTTACTCTTTGTACACAGTGCTTCTTTGTACAAAACGAAATGTGGTGCTTCAAGTTAAGGTTTCCTGGAAAAGACATCACATGGCATGGATAAGAATGGCGAATCGCAGCATCGACTGAGTCACGGGCAGCAAACAGACATTTTGTTGCTGCTGTTGCACTGGCGGTGGCATGAAAAGTGCAAGGATGTGGGTATTCATGCACCATTGACAGATAGTGGTGCAAGCAAGTCAGGGGTATCAACTGAGAGTTGCAGACCTTGTGGCTTGGGCAGACATTTGGACAAGGTTCAGCTCCCTTTCTCTGCCACCCAGCTTGGATCAGTGTTTGTCCTTGCTTCATACTTTCCCCTTGACCGTGATCAGGACAGTCTTGTGTCTTCTCCATTGTGAACTTCGTGAGTGGAGCTGGTGGCTTCCCAACATCCTTATCATTCTGATACAATTTGTTTTATGATATATTTTTGGTTATTGGTTGGTTGGTTGATTGATTGATTGATCGATTGCAAACAGACTTTGTGGCATGGGGCAGGGCGGCCTGGCATTTGATGGTGAGGCAACACTTCTGCCCAGGAAGCGCCACATACATCGCTGGCACAACAAAGCCAGGACTGCAAGGGTGGGCGACACTCTCACACTCTTGCGGCGCCAGCAAGGGGATCCGCTGCTGCAGTTTGACAAGGGGGATGCGGGAGGCACTTCCTGTAAGCTGCAGTGCAATTCTATGGTGATCACAGCTGTCTTTAAAGCCATAGCAGTGCTGTTGGTGTTGGGGAACAGCGACTGTACTGAAACATGTTCACGTGTTTTTCTAGACAGCCTGTGTGGATTTTGCATCTGCCGGAATGTGACAGATCGGCACCCTGGCACCTTCAAGAAGATCAAGCTTAGTACACTCAAATTATCCCACAGGTATCTAGGGTCACGTGACACCACGTGCACGATCGTGCCGGCGTGGTGCTGTATGTTTGGCATTTCGGTGAATGCGCACGACGCTTTCCCCTGTCACGTGACCCAAGATACCTATTAACAAACCAGGTCATGTTTGCCAAAGTTGATGACAGACAGAGCCTGTGCACTCCACAGGCCAGTCCAGGTGAAGATGTCCAATTGGTGTTTGTTCACTGTCAGAAGGTCACAATTCCACACAAGCAGTGGGATTGTGGCTATGTAGTTTCTGGTGTGTTGATTCAGTATGCCATTAACCCTTGCCCTGCCACCCAGTGTGTCACCGGATGCGCTGCTAAGCGATCAGCAGGTTTTCCACCCTTGAATACAGAAAGGGAGGTTGCTGGGTAGGCTATTGGGGTCTGCAATAGACCATCCCAGGCACAGAATTCACTGCCCTTGTAGCCATGAGGCGCCAGTGAGGCCTTTCCACAGGTGGATCGTTTGTCTGCACATTCACAGTTGTCTTTGCTTCATGGCAAGTGACATGAGAAGGCCAATTGCTGGTGTCAAACGATGAGAGCAGATAAAACTATGATGCTAATGACAAAAACGGATGACGAAATGCGAGGACAATTTGCGTCGCGTCAGCATATTATGTGCAAAGCCCATGATCTGCACTATTTCCGATGTCCGTCGTGAACACAAACGGATGCGTGCTTTTTCTTGTGGAGGGTCAACAGTTGGTGGCAGATATCCAGCAACGTCTGGAATAGAGGTTTTGAGACTCAATGTGCAGCAAACAGCAGTCTTGGCCATGAACAGCAAGGGGCTGAGTGACCAGCATGCTGAATCATATTCGAACATCTTTGTTTGAAATTTGCATTTCTGTGTTTTTTAACACTGTAGTGAATGGGAATGGTCTTTTGAACATGTGGCAAAGATGGATCCCTGCATTTTTATTGCATCTCATAACTTCAGAGCGATGTACTGGGTGTTGACCAGCAACTGTATGAATCACCAGCACTTACTGCAAGTATCCAAGTACACGTGAGTCGACTTCCTAAGCTAGTACATTGCATTTGAGGGTGCATTGTTGAAGGTTGCATCAAAAGTGGGAGCTGTGTGTGACCTGCTGGCAGTGCCCGATTCCCAACAGAAGGCCTCCAGCGATGAGATACTGGAGAACATGAGGATGCGGACGCAGAAGGTGAAAACACTGTCGACAGATGCCCGGGGCTGGGCAAGCAAAGTTCGGCATGGAAAGCTCAAGGAGATGCTTGGATTGCAGGCCAAAGACAAGGGTATGGCATGTTCAAAATGCCTGTCAGGTTTTCTGTATGTTGCACATATGTGTTGTCTGGGTTCGGTTGATGAAGTGCTGTGTTTCCAGTGAGTCTTGACACATGTATGCAATGACCACAGCACAAACGAAAAGTGCATAACCGTTAATCCAAGTTACGGACGTGCAACAAAAAGGCAACAGCAATATTAAGGAATGGCACAATAGAGCACCACATACACCATAGCATACTCAACCCTTCCACACCGCAACGGAACGCTTGGCCTTTCTTTGTGGAGCAAATTTGAAAATTTAACGGTGCCCCAAACATGCACAGCAGCCCCAACTGCAACGTGAGGGTCTATGGACTGCTCGCAGCGTCCATCCCTGGATGTACGAGCCCCTGTAGCGGAACCTGGCATTTGAGGACATGCAAACGAAATGGAGTCGACAGTATGGCTGTGCCCATGACGCAGAGCACAAAGAAATAACATTCCATCAAACCTTGTGGAATGAAATCGTATTGCTGAAATTACAAAATTCGAAAGAATTGAATATACTATGGTAATATCCAGAGCCATGTTGAACAACCTTGATATTTTCCAATGTGCGACTGAACCACAGGAGTTATGTCAATTTGCTGGTGCTTCAAAATTTATGTGGCCAGGCCGGCGGTGGCATAGAAGTCTGCTGACAGTTGACAATTGTTGAGGCACTTCATCTCAATGACTGTTTGTCAAATTGCACAGCATTCGACGTTTGTGTTGGCAAGTTTTGAATTCATTGAGTATAAAATGATGAAAGGTTGCAGGTCGTGTCTTCAATAGTTTGGTGTGTTTAGCAAGCCCCTTTTATGTATTCCAGGTCGAAGGCCGAAAAAGCAGACGCCATGGCCATTCCTATCGAATGCCCACTTGAGGGTGTGTGGGCTGATTGGCTTGGCAGCATCCATGCGGATAAGCGGCTTCTCTGGCATGCGGTCACGGCCATCGTTCTCTGAACCTAGCCCCTCAACAAGCACTGTTCGCAGGTCAGTAGCCATCAGTGTGGGTGGGAACAGTCATTTGTGGGCTGCACAAATTTTCAAGCTCCCAACAGCGCATCGTGTCTGGTGCATGTGCAAATTTTGTTCTGAGCTGAATGCTGTAGCTCAACTTCGTGAAGGCTAGTGCATATGGCTGGTGTATGGTGACAGGCATTTGTGATTTTTCAGCACATTGGTTTGCTTGGACTCAATTCTGTATGCTGAGCCCGTTGCTGGCAGCTGTGGGCCAGTCACACAGAGTGGTAGTTTGACTTTGGGATACACAAACTGCTCAGCCATAAGATGAGCTTGCAACTCCTGGCAACAAACTTGTGACTCTCGTTGGATATCTTCTCAGTGACGAGTCAAACATGTGCCTTTAGCCTTGTGCCACTGCACATTCTATGCATGTTTTCTCTACGCATGAACCCTTTTTTGGGGAAGAGTGATATGAGGTCCAGTACTTTATAGTACTCGTTTGTATTAAGCTGTCCTGAAAAGATGTTTGGTGGGCCATGATGGTGGATTTCATTTTTGATTGGCCAGCACTGTCAATCACGGCCATGTGAACATGCCCTCAGTTCATGGCAATAGTTCACAATCCGATGTGCAACATGCTAGGTGGTCACCAAGGCCCTGGGCCAATGAGCGCTTTGCCCATCTGTTCTTGGCCACAGGCATAAGCCTGCAGGCTGGCCAGATGCAGAACTGGCTCCTGTCCTACTCATCGGTGTCGGCGAGGTTCGAAGTTCAGGTGCGCTCTTGCAACATTGGAGAGAGCGATCTGCCGTTGGGTGCTGATTGCCACAAGTTGCCCTGACCTTCAACCGCAAAGCCCAAACCGCTGTGCCAACGAATTCATTGCTGGCCACTACCGAACCGCTGGTCCTGTTTCACTGGGGCACAAGTACGCATTTGTCCTCTCTGGAGCCAGCCATTTGCTCATTGATCACGTTTTGAATCCAAATTTTTGACACATTGTAGTTCATCTCACATGACCACTCCCAACTGCAGGACAATGTGTGGGACTGAGCATAATTGACGTAGACAATTGATGAGCTTTTTCACATGCATTCATGTGATTGATCAGTCAGCCATATGCCACTGTGTGCAGGTGCCAGCACCATGGGGTGCCTACCAGCGCCTGAGGCGGAGCCAGAGCTTCAGGGGGAGGAGGACTGCCTGGGTGGCTGGTGCGGGCACACCACCAGGCGTGCAGGTGTCTGTCGCACAGCAGGTACGATCCACCAATGCACTGCAGTATAGCATGATAAATGACAGTAGAGCAAAAATGGACAAGAGTACAATGTGGTGCAAGAACACAGCAGCAGAGCAACAAGTGCATTTTAATGGCAGCTCTTCGCATTATGTGGAATGTGTGGAATATGTTATAGTGGAAGATGCTGTTACTTTTTCCTTCATGTGTTGTGACAAATTTCTGGTGAATCAATCACTTGGCACACTGTTCATTGGTTGTTGATCCGATTGCTTGTTGTTATTAGTGTTTGCGATGAATGTGCCAACTTATTGTGCGCAAAACACGTGCTGTAGTCAAGACCAAATGTTGTCTTCATAAGTGGCCATTGTGAGCAGCCAAACCCATAAAACCGATCACATCCTTAAAGTACAAATATTTCCCACTGACAGGCACTAAATATCAGAACCAGATGAGGGAGTTAGGTAATCTTCGTTGAAATTTTTGAAGGAGCCTCGGGCCAAAGTTGCATCTTGGCTCTTCAGAATTGTCCGGTGTCCCTTCAAGAATGTGTTCCTGAAGGTGTGCCATCCAATGTCCTGCCCTCAGGTTTTGGGCCCCTTGAGGGCAAAGGCTGATTTCCGGTGGGTCCTTGAGGCTGGAGACCCTGTCGTGAGGCCTGGAGGTGGGCCCCTCATTCGCGCTCAGGACCACATCCGCAGCCTGAGATCGCATCTCGCAGAGGCCCAGTATGGCTTCGACTTTGCAGCCCCGGGATTGGCAGGCGCCTTCCGGATAGGGGGATGGTACACGCCGGCACGCAAGGAGGGGCTGATCGAGATGCGCATGTTCTGAGATTCGCACGGCACGCTGGACACTGGGGCCAAGTATGCTCACCATCGCTGCACGGATTCAGAGGCGCAACTTTGCTGCCTACCAGCAAGGAGTTGTAGTAAATAGATCGCGGGGGCAGACGTGCCAAAATGGAAAGTTGAATGGGTGTCATTCCTTTCAGAGGCACAATTTGAGTCGTTTACGGCTGTGTAATCATTGCAGAAACGAGCATTGGCTGGCTGGTCCGATTTGCGCCCATTGCCACGAATTATATGTGTGGTGGAATTGCGGTCTGAAAATACATTCGCAATGAGTAGAGTTTCCGGGCAAACTCGACGGCCATCTTGTGCTGACGCAGCCTTGGCAGCTGCAGCATGCGTGTGTGTGAGGTTCGCAATGTTTTTCTGTCGTAGAATGCGTTCGATCATTGTGCCAAACGAAGTTCCAAATTCACATTATAACACAAATGTTGAATTTTTGACTATTGTCCCTAATTAGGGAAACCTCAGCAGCAGAGGTGACGAGACAGGCTTCCAAGACCTGCCATGCGTCGATGCGGCACCTGTGCTGAGCTGCATTTTCACTAGGAAAAAAAGTGCGAAATAACACGTGTTCAAATGTGTACAAAGTTTACGGGTTTGTGTTATTTTTGTGTTCTTAGCGTGTAGAAATTTGATGAAATGTGTTTTTATGTGTGTTTGCAAAAGTGTTATTTGGCCCTTTTTCTCCTAGTGATGCCTACAGGTCAAGCATCCCACCACGAATCGACAGAATTCACTACTAGTTTGCAGTTTCTGGCGAGCAGGACAGAATCACAACGCATCAGCATGCATGCTCCGCCCCCCCGGCGCTGTTTTTTCGCATGCCCTGCACTAGTAGAAAACGGCATGTCTGCGATGCCAACTGCGATGCTATTTTGACACAAAGTGATGCCGTCGCAGTGATTGCAATGGGATAAAAGCGGCTGCGATGGCATCTATTTGTGTCAATGGCGTCGCAGTTGGCATCGCAGACATGCCGTTTCCTACTGTTGCTGCCTGTTTCGGCATCTAAACGCCCCATGTGCGGTATATGTGGCACTTGCAGGCCAGCCTGCCCCCTCGCGTGCCTTTTCTGCTTTGGACCTTGGTGTCGGCCCTGTTCGCAGCCTTGTCCAGGCCGTCGCACGCCTATCAGCAACCCTATACATGACCAAGTGCACCTGCTATGGGTTACACCAATAGGATTGCACCGGCTGATCTTTGAATCTGTGTGAGTTCACAGCTTCAAGAATACACTTATCTATTGGGTGAATGCGCTGCCAGAATCGTTAAAGCATTGGATTTGCAAAACATGTTTTTTTTTAAATGTTGGCATGGCAGTATCTTGTTTCTTCTCCGATCTTCGACTGCACCAGACACATTATGGCATACATGCCCATAGCACTCTAATGGGAGAAAAGACTGAGTCACGTATGGCTTTGTAGCGTTGGTACTTGGTTGTATCAATTTCCCTAAAGGTATCATGTAAGGCTGTGATGCAGAAAGCAAAGAAGTGGTTGTTGAGGCAGCTGCAGCTCTCATAGAGTATTATCCAGCGTATTTTCAAGTCCCATGCTTGCTTCATCTGTGCCCCAATGTCTCCACTCTGCCGAAAATATTTGCTGACATTTATCAACCCCCCCACCCCACTCTCTTGTAGGACACATGCTGTGAGACCTCTCATGTCTTCTTGGTCAAAAGTGCTTCCCTACCACTTTTGTTTCAACTGCTAACCTAACTTAATGTGATCAATTTGGGACCTGCAAGGTTCAGAACAAGAGCGATGACATTTTCCAGCTGGCCCCTGTTGATCAGTGTTTTGAATCACTTGACTGTGTATGCAAGCAAAAATTTGCTTGCCACAGATACAATTGCATGAGAATGATTTGTCAAGATTGAAAAGCACATTTAATGTGATATTGTCGTTTGTCAATCCAAACAGAGCAATTGGCTGGGTGCCAAATATAACGTCATGCATGCAGATATGATTAATGTATTTGCTGACATCTTCGACTCTGTCCACATTCCAAATGGTGGTGTATTTCTTTTGAAATAGTTTCGCAGTGGATTGTTGAATCAAATCATGCTATGTTGTGATATGTGGCGTACAGAATGGATATCACATTAGATATATATAGTCAGTTATACAGAAACAAGCCGCTCAGGCATTGTCAAGCCAAAACTGAACAGGCACCCAGAAACAGACCGTCTAGGAGCATACCATAAGAGAGCAGACCACATAGGAGCAGCCGTACAGTAATTGCCAAATCTGTGCAGCTGCTTCAACACTTATGGGACCAATTGCCAGCCAACAGGAGTTTAGCAATGCCACCTGCTCAGATACAATCATAGGTTCCGAGAGGCAGCAATATGCAGGCAATTACTAATTTCATCAGTGGTCGCCCATGTCATATTGCACTGATTAGCCAGCGCTTACTCCTCCATGATCTCGTCCATGACGTTCTGCAGCCCAAGTTGCAGGAAGCTGCCCATGTTGATCAGCATGTCCTCAAATCCGTCTTCTGTTTGACAGCATGGAATTCACTCACGCACCTTCAGTGTAGTCACAGAGCTGGCGTGCTCCAACAATCCCAATCTGCCCTCATACTTGACGCTGCAAAGGCCTCCAATCTCAGGCATAATCTCCCCTACCTTTGGTGCACCATTGTGCCTCATTTGCTAGTACACAAAACATGATATTGTCGAAAGAAAAACGGTGTTTTGGTGATTCGACGGCAAGTTTGAATCGAACGGCCCATGAATTATACCATCACATAGTTCGATTTCGTGCAGATGTGCGGACATGCCTTGCTTGCATCAATGGAGGTGAGGGTGTTGGGCCACACTTGGGGGCTAGGATTGGGTGTTTGCCATGTACATTATCTTCAAATTACACGCTTGGCTTACAAAGGCTAGAGAGGTTCTTCAGTCATCACGTGTATATTTTAGAGTCAAGAAAATTTGGCAAATTACACTCACCCCACATAGGCTACTTTGAGCCAATAACATTGGTTTGGTCCTCCTCCGGGTCATTCAAATGGACGGGTCAGCCTCTCTCCAATGGCTTGCGCTGTAATATATCATATTGCTTGCACAATTTGCCAACACATTACACCCAGTATCCCAACCTATTGTGTGGAATTTGGCTTATCCCATCGTCCAATACCCTGGGAGTTGGACAATCCCTTTGTGTGACCCAACAGAAGATCACCTAGACTTTGTTCCTGGTTTGCACTAGGAGAGCCCCAACAAGAATGCGGGGTGCTCAAAAGGTTCTTAAAGCCAAATTGGAATCAGAGGATCATTACACTAATCGCCCGTTCACAGTAGAATGTTTGGTGCTCAAGGATGCTCAGACCCCAGGGCGGGTGCCACGGCCAACAGGCCAAAAGCCCTACTATTTATCCCCCACCCCCCAACCCCCCCCTCTCTCAATATTCCTCTCTTGATCCCTCTTAGCCTAACCATCAGATGGTGGAATTTGCGCAAAGGTGCGGACATGGCTTGCTTGCACCAATAGAGAGGTGAGGGTGCTGTGCCACACTTGTGGGCCGGGGGTGGGTGTTTGCCATGTAACACATTGTCTTCAAGTTGCTTGTTTTACAAAAGTCCTTTTAGAGCCTAAACTTGAAGGGGCGTCTCTCCAAGTAGACACATCACATCATCTTTATAATGGCCATATCCTTGAAATGTATATTATTGGAGTACCCATTGTGGCAACCATGAACCATGAACTGCCAACCCCACAGCACCTGCCAGCATGTTTTTGTAGAGGCTCTTGTGCTTCTGCCTCAAAGGACAGGATATCCTGTGAGGAGGCGCTAAGCTGATGACAACAGATATTGCTCATCCCTGTGTGTTGCAAGTCATGATCTTGGTCATCATTAAATGACACAAATTTTGTGCAAGACGATGTATACATTGCAAACGAGGATCCAATAGGACGCTGGGTTTGTATCACTCTAGCATCTTGTCCACTGCCATGGAATGGAAGTTTTGTTTGCAAAAGTAACATGTTTTGCATGCTTTGTCAGGATATCTCATATTAAGGCTTCATGCAAGAACAATATTGTTGGTGATACCGCAAAGGCCTCCTGATCCATACACATTGTTTGCAGGGGTATTTAGCGCATTACCCCATCCATGAGGATCCGTTCACCATGAGTCCCAATAAGTAAGACAAATGCAATCTTGGTAAAGACTCAATTCCCTCCATGCCATGCAACCATTGTCCAGAGCTGACGCAAGCAGGAATTTTGCTCAAAACGACCTGTGGCCTTTTTGCATCCATCGCTGTTGTTCCCTAATTGAACTGTGTGGCAGGCTGCAGTTTCCTTTCATCATAGAAAGGAAGTTGGCAAAAAGTTTGTGAGTTGCAAAATGTCATTTGCATACCCACAGCTACACTGGTCAGTTTGAATGGTGGGGAGTTCTACTAGGATACACATGCTTGTGTGCATCTGTTACAGACAGCCAGGTGACCAATGTGACATTGCAGATCTCGCAAATGGAAATGAACCATAATCTGATGTACAATTCAGGCCTAAAATATATTGTTGAAATAAACACATATTAACATGCAAATTTGCTTGCTATACTGCCCAGGCTTCATAGCAATTTCCACTTGTTGTACATGTCAGGTACCTATAGCTCTGACCCATGGAGCTATTGGTAGTCTGATGCAACTATGCCGCCGAAGTGCACTTGGAAATGGGAATGGCGAAATGGGCAACAAAAATTTGAGCCTACAAGAGGCCGTTGGCATTCTATTTGAAGCTTAGAACACTTTCCTAAAACTGGTTCTATCACTAGCGAAATGGCAAAGAAGGGGTAGATACGAATCTCATGTAGAGACAACGTGTTAGAGTGTTGGAGCAAAGTATGAGAGAAGCTTCGTTTTGCAGATGCCCTTGCAGATGCAACTCAATTTTTTATGGAACACAGCCATTGGTAATTACATAGGCCCATCCAACTTTCTTTCGTAGGTCAATTTAGCAACCG